TTCACCATGTTGGCCAGGTTGGTCTCGAACTACTGACCTCAAGTGATCCACTCGCCTCGGACTCCGAAAGTGTTGGGATTACAGGTGTGTGCCCTCGAGCCCAGTCATGGCAGATTCTTTGTTTTGTTCTTTATGAGACGGAGTCTCGCTCTGTTGCCCAGACTGAAGTGCAGTGGCTCAATCTCGGCTCACTGCAAGCTCCGCCTCCCAGGTTCACGCCATTCTCCTGCCTCAGCCTCCCGAGTAGCTGGGACTACAGGTGCCCACCAGCACTCCCAGCTAATTTTTTGTATTTTTAGTAGAGACGGGGTTTCACTGTGCTAGCCAGGATGGTCTCGATCTCCTCACCTCGTGATCTGCCCACCTCGGCCTCCCGATGTGCTGGGATTACAGGCATGAGCCACCGCGCCACCTGGCCCCATGATTCTTAAAGGACTCAGACAGGTGTGCGGGGTGAAGTGAAACACGCTCAGCAGAGGGAACAGCATGCATGGAGGCCTGGAGAGTTTGATCTGTTTGAGGAAGTGAAAGACCTTCAGGGTGACTGGGGTATCAATTTTAAGAGTTTGGAAGGGGAAGTAACAATTGAAACTGGGGCATAGCAGGCAAAAGCCAGGGTGGGGGTACTCAGAATCAAGGGGTTGGGCATTCTCCGGGAGCAATGGGGAGCCATGGAAGATTGAAGCCAGAGAGTGAAGCAGTCTAACTAGTTCTTTTATTTTTTTATTTTATTTGTATTTTTGACTGGGTCTTTAAGAAGTTGTCTCAGGCCAGGCACAGTGGGTCACGCCTGTAATCCCAGCACTTTGGGAGGCTGAGGCGGGCAGATCACTTGAGGTTAGGAGTTTGAGACCAGCCTGGCCAACATGGTGAAACCCCGTCTCTACTAAAAATATGAAAACTAGCTGGGCATGGTGACGCACATCTGTCATCCCAGCTACTTGGGAGGCTGAGGCAGGAGAATCACTTGAACCCGGGAGGCGGATGTTGCAGTGAGCTGAGATTGCACCACTGCACTCCAGCCTGGGTGACAGAGTGAGACTGGGTCTCAAAAAACAAAAATACGAAACATTGGCCAGGTACCGTAGCTCACACCTGTAATCCTTGCACTTAGGGAGGCTGAGGTGGGTGGATCATCTGAGGTCAGGAGTTCAAGACCAGCCTGGTCAACATGATGAAACCCCTTTTCTACTGAAAATACAAAAAATTAGCCGGGCGTGGTGGCAGGCGCCTGTAATCCCAGTTACTCAGGAGGCTGAGGCAGGAGAATTGCTTGAACCCAGGGGGTGGAGGTTACAGTGAGCCGAGATTGCGCCACTGCACTCCAGCCTGGGCAACAAGAGCAAAAACTCCATCCAAAAAAAAACAAAAAACAAAAAACAAAAAGTTAGCCGGGCATGGTGGCACATGCCTGTAGTCCCAGCTACTCAGGAGGCTGAGACAGGAGAATCACTTGAACCTGAAAGGCGGAAGTTGCAGTGAACCAAGATTGCACCATTGCACTCCAGCCTGGGTGACTCCATCTAAAAAAAAAAAAAAACTGTTTCACAGGGAGGTATCCTCCCTTCGCAGAGGGGCAGTATAATTCCATGGTGTGACTTTGGAGAGTGGTTTGATAACACAGTCAAAGCTGGGTGCAGTGGCTCATGCCTGTAATCCCAGCAGTTTTGGAGGCTGAGCGTGGAGGATCACTTGAGCCCAGGAGTTCAAGATTAGCCTGGGCAACATGGTGAAACCCTGTCTCTACTAAAAATACAAAAAATTAGCCAGGTGTGGTGGTGTGCACCTGTAAGTCCCAGCTACTTGGGAGGCTGAGGTGGAAGGATTGCTTGAGCCCAGGAGGTTGAAGTTGCAGCGATCATACCACTGCACTTCAGCCGAGGTGACAGAGTAAGATGCTGTCTCAAAAAAAAAAAAAAAAAAAAAAAAAATAGCTGGGTGTGGTGGCATATTCCTGTAGCTCCCAGCTACACAGGAGACTAAGGCAGTAGGACTGCTTGAGCCAGGGAGGTCATGGCTGCACTCAGCCATGATTGTACCACTGCATTCCAGCCTATATGTCAGAGTGAGATCCTGTTTCAAAAAAAAAAAGCCCAGAAACATCTTCCCTGAGGTCATATAGTTCCACTCCTGGACAGTGACAGTCACTCTCTAAACAGTCAGCTCTTGTGCTCCCAGGGACACTTAGGAGAATGTTTAGAGCTGCCTTGTTTATCATATGGAAAAGGGGAGACCATTGCAAAGTCCCTTAACAAGAGACTGCCTAAGCAAATTGCAATCTGGTTGAATACTGAAATATGGTACAGCCAGGAAAACGAATTTAACCAGAATGACTAATATCATTCTGTATGAAGCTTTATAAACTCTTATAGCATGAAAAAGCACATTGCAGAGGGATATCTGCAGTATAATACTACACATTTACCATTCATTAGATTTTTTTTTTTTTTTTTTTTTTGAGACAGAGTTTCTCTCCTGTTGCCTAGGCTGGAGTGCAATGGCACAATCTCGGCTCACTGCAACCTCCGTCTCCCAGGTTCAGTTCTCCTGCCTCAGCCTCCCGAGTAGCTGGGATTACAGGCATGCGCCACCATGCCCGGCTAATTTTGTATTTTTAGTAGAGACGGGGTTTCTCCATGTTGGTCAGGCTGGTCTCGAACTCCCGACCTCAGGTGATCTGCCCATCTCGGCCTCCCAAAGTGCTGGGATTACAGACATGAGCCACCTTGCCCAGCCACAGTCCATAACATTTAAGACTAGATTGTAGAGGACATGAAAATGATAAACACTACTTCAGGGTCGGGCACAGTGGCTTATGCCTATAATCCCAGCACTTTGGAGGCTGAGCTACTCACCCTCCCAGCTACTCAGGAGGCTGAGGTGGGAGGATCGCTTGAGCCCCGGAGTTTGAGACCAGCTTGGACAACATGGTGAGACCCGTTCTCTACAAAAACTACAAAAATCAGCTGGGCATGGTGGCATGCGCCTGTAGTTCCAGCTTCTTGGGAGGCTGAGGCAGGAGGATTGCTTTAGTCCAGGAAGCCGAGGGTACAGTGAGCTATGATCGCACCACTGCACTCCAGCCACACCCAGCTAATTTATTTTATTTTTAGTTTTTTTAGATATGGGGGGTCTCCACTATGTTGCCTAGGCTAGTCTTGAACTCCTAGGTTCAAGTGATTCTCCCGCCTTAGCCTCCCAGAGTGCTGGATTACAGATGTGAGCCACCAGCCTTAGATAAAATTACTTATTTATTTTATTTTATTTTGTTTTATACAGAGCCTCACTCTTTCACCCAGGTTGGAGTGTAGTGGTGTGATCTCGGCTCACTGCAACCTCCACCTCCAGGTTCAAGCAATTCTCTTGCCTCAGCCTCCTGAGTAGCTGCAATTACAGGTGCGCACCCCTCACACCCAGCTAATTTTTGTATTTTTAGTAGAGACGAGGTTTTGCCATGTTGGCCAGGCTGGTCTCGAACTCCTGACCTCAAGTGCTTCACCTGCCTCAACTTCCCAAAGTGCTGGGATTATAGGTGTGGGCCACCGCACCCAGCCAGATATAATTTTTTTTTTTTTTTTTTTTTTTGAGACAGAGTCTTGCTCTGTCACCAGGCTGGAGTGCAGTGTCACAATCTCGGCTCACTGCAACCTCTGCC